TTCCTCACAAATCTAAAAATTCACTAATCGATCTATGCTTAGAGATACAAGGAGTTATGAAACCACTTAATCCTGACACATAACAGCTAGTCAGCAAGGCTTATTTGCCTCTACATTTGGCAACATTTCACTCAGCTGTGGTGGCTGATACATGTACAAGCATGTTGTACTTAACCTCTCACAGAGAAGTGGAATACATGTCCACGTGCCTAGTATACCAGCAGAAGCAGCAGGCATCAAGTCAAACATTGTTTTATGCCCTCAAGGATCAGACTCGTGTTTGGCAACACTGAGCATTTGCATTACAGAAGTATATAGAATGTGAACCTGAAGGAAAACAATTAGCTAGCTACCAAGTAAGCAAAAAACCTGAGCTACTAGGTACTCAATTTCAGTTTTCAAGTAGCTTACTACCATTTTAAAATAACCAAATCTTTCTTCAATTATGGTTTGTAGATTTGATAGGAACAGATATGGAAGTCAGTCACTTAATTGCCATAAAACAAGCTCAGAAATGTATAGCAGGCCTTCATGCATTTACACCTCTTGCCTTCCCCTGCCCCGTGTTTGAAGAGGAATGTAGAGTTCTCCAACACTGCTGTGCAAGATTTTTTTGAAAAAAGCTTTTTGGGGAAGGTTTGCATAAATTCTTTCGGTCTAGTCAACAGACATGAAAGTATTAACGGTGAGGAACCAGTACAGACAAAGCTAATATTGTACACCAATTTAACATCCATTGTCTTCACAAGGGCCATAATGATGGTCTTTCAGTTTCTTCTATTTCTGTGTACTCCTGACAAAATCAAGCACCACCAACACTACATCCTTCCACGTTGCCTCAGAAAGGAAGGAAATCCAGAATTGTCATCAGTCACTCCCCTGGATTCCTCACTCATATGTGAACAGCTATATATTTTGTTTGTGGTGTTGGTTGGTTGTTTTTTTTCCAAAATTCAAGAGGGTCAAGAAAAAATACCCTTAAGTGCAAATACAAAAACCCAAAGCACATTTACTTCATGGCTGCTTACCCTGCCATACAAAGTGTGTAATAGTGAATGTCCTGTCCTGTCTGCAACACAACAGCATCTGTGAGCCTGTCCTCCTTTTCCAAACTGAAGACTCTGTCCGCCAAATGCACGCTGATAAATTTTTCCTTCTTCAGCCCTGCTGAATGGCATCCCATAATTTTCCAGCTGATGAAACCAAATACAAGCATCAGAAACTCTGTGTATAGCAACCCAACAACAAATTATTTTACTATGTTCCTAGTAAGGAGATCTCTATGGAAGCTAGTTTGTGTTACACGAATTGAAGAGCTGACATCAATTCCAGCAAGTCTCACCTCTATAACTGCAGCTGGAGCTTGCTCAGTCATGTAGTGTATGGCATCCTGGTCACCCAGCCAATCAGACCCTTTCACTGTGTCATAGAAATGCCACCTCCAGTTATCATCCTCCATGTTTCCCAGAGCAGCGTTGATACCACCCTGAAAATGAAAATCCATTTTCCTGGTATTACTGAAGTACAGTTTTAGTAGGCTTTCCTCATTTCTGTTAAAAAACACATACCATTTAGGCCTCTGTGTACAAGAGAGACAGTAAAGTCAGATTAAACACAGCTGTGAAAAGCCTGTGCAGTGTATCAGTTTCACAATGGTTTTCTCTTGTTTTGTCTTACAGAATGAACTTCAAAGTTACATTTAATGCAATGAAAAAGCATTAAATAGAATCTAAACATGTGCTGCCTTCCAAAATAGTGGCAACAAAATATACAATATTTACCAAAGGAAGCATGATGTTCATGTGCTTACCCAAATCAGCTTTCTGAGAGCAGCTGTTTTATAAACATCTGTTCAACCTCATTTCTCACCTGTGCAGCAACAGTATGAGATCTGGTGGGAAACAGCTTTGTAACACATGCTGTATTAAATCCAGCCTCTGACAAACCAAACGCAGCCCGTAGACCTGCTCCTCCTGCACCCACAACTACTGCATCGAATTCATGGTCCACTACTGGATATTGCGTAGAAATCTGGAAAATAAATCAGTTTGTTATGAACACAAATATTTCAAGCTAGGTAAAACTCAAGCTTCATGGAGTCAAAAGCAGTATAGATTTAATATCCTTAATAGACTCTTGAAGTGAATGCTACATCTGATACATACTCTCTTGGATGGAAACTATAAGTAAAAAAAAGCCATGCATTTCAGCAACTCAATCTCACTAAGTACTTGAACACAATACTCTGCTAAAAGCCAAGTACCTGGTGGTATTACATGTATCACCTAATCTGTTACTTAAGATATAAAGAGGTACGGACATACCGAACTGGAAACCTTCGTAGAAGCATTTTTCTTTCCATAGACTGTGAAGTGCAAGTTGCGTGCCAGAGCCCGGCTTGCCACTGGCCACTACGGAAAGAAGTCAAGGCAACTATTAGAAAACATGTTTCCACAAGGAAGACTTTCAGCACTCTTGGCTACAAGATGTTATTTATAACGTTTATTTACCACTGATATCATATGAACAAAAATATTGTATCAACACATTTTAGAGCCACACCCAATGAAATGGGTGTAGCTCTCCTACATTCATATAAAAAAAAAAAGCCCGTTTTGACTGGACGGGAGAACGACTTGCAAATATAACAGGGTGTCACAGATAATCTGTTATTTACTTTGCGAACATTAACCAGTCTCCTAGACCTATCTAACACTGCACTGATGAAAAATTTGTTTGCTATTAATGTTGTAGTATTCTTGCATTTTTTTTAAATAAATAAACAAAGATAAAGTCAACTTTAAGGGAACAACATGATTAACAGAAAATACCTCTCACATCCACATCAAGCAATCCTAGAATTTTAAATATTTCCGGTGGTCAAGAGTAATGAAGAAAAAAAATATAGGTGGTAAGGAAGGTTGTTCAGCTCATCGTTGCTTCAAAAGTCAGAGATCTTTCTCTTGTTCTCATTATCTATTAATTAGTGACAAATTTAGAACAACTTATTAATACCCAAGTGAAGCACAAGGGCACAGTTTTCCCCTTCTGTAATGCTATTCCCTCTCCCCTGACATGTTCAAAACCAAACAAAAAAAACCTCAGCACCCAAACCTACCCAGTCAGAAGTCTTTGCTTTGATAGGTTAAAACAATCAGAATTTTAGTCTCCACCATATAAATCTCCAATGCCTTGGAAACTATTTCTTCTTCGCACTAATCAGTAATACAGCTAACTCAGCATGTAGTATTGATGAGAATAGAAACAAAAAAACGTATCAGCGATTTGTGCAGTGACAACTGCACTTCCCTATTTGAAATATATCCTAAAATGCGTGGAGTGACATTTGTGTTTTCTAGCAACTGTTATCTTCGTGATTCAATCATCCTATAATAACATTAAAAAGCAAGTCTTCCCTTCCTATCACTTTCAAATCCCCATCTCTTCCCCTATCCAAAGTAAACCACAGTACACTTCCCTCAACTTTGTCACTTCTCATACTGGTTTCCTCAAATTATCTTCCTGCATATCAGTGAATCTAATGTGTCATCATAACACACTTCTGCTTTTTACAGCCATCTATGAATAAGCTCAGTCTTAACAGGGATTTGTAAAGAGTTTTACTAGTACTCTCCTCCTGGAATTTCCTCTCCTCCTTACACCCTGCTGGGTTATAGTGCTTTGAGGCAATTCCATGCTCATTTTAATTCCTGTATTAATCATAATCTTTAATATTTCACACACAGAATCAAATCAACGAGTTCACCAGCAGCCAGATGAAGCCTACAGCTTACAAAAGCCTACAGAGCCTACAGTTCTCCCAGCAATCACAGCTGATACTAAAATGGGTTGTTCTCACTGCAGCAATACTGCTTTCACAAGCCTAAATGCAACTGAAGTTCAGACTAGCAGAACTCCAATCGAGATACCTCAGGCTACACCGTGCACTTTAAATGTGGCAGCTGTGCATTGTCTAGCACATGCTACTACTGCTTGTTTCCAAAACGCTGTTACAGCTTTCTTGACTGCAATACATTCTTTATGGTTGAGGAGCAACAATACATTTGGTTACTGCATAAAGCAATTAAAAGAAAATGTTCAATGTAAGCAAAGACAGCACACAACAAACAAGCCTGTACTGCTTAAAGAAAGTGCAAATGGGGGGGGAGGAACGTAAACAAAAACAAGACACCAAAAAAACACACACACAACAAAACAACACAACACAACATACACAACTCAAGAGCTATAAACTGTGGTTACGCCCCAAAGCCCTAGAGGAAACAGTTTTCTTCTCCCCTCAGAGTAAACAGCCTGCTCCAATGTCCAGTCAGAATTCTGCCTGGATGCCTTGCACTTAATTTCTTTTTTAAAAGCTTTGTTAATTTCTGAAGTTGCTATAAACAGCTATGAGACATGTTTTGCATCAGAAGACTCTGGAAATACATTCTAAAAAAACCCCAAACCACACAATCACACAATTGTTTAGCAGACTGCTTTTCTCTTCATATCTAATTTCTGCAAAACAAGGTTTCAGAACTTCTATTCCCACCCACACAGACTTTTTTGTTACTGCTATACATAAGAATTTTTGCTGCCACTGAGTTTTGTGCAGAATGCATCTGAACTAAAGTCCACAAAGCAGAAAAAGATATTGCTCCAAATTTGGAAGGAGACACTGATCACACCAATCCTGAACTGTTATGCTAACAGAAACATCATGGTCCTTACGGAATTAAAATTCCAACGAGGGCCAGTTCACTGTCATTTAAAACAAAACAGCCTTCAAACAACCCCGCAGTAGGTTGTCTCTTCTGCAGTCGCTTTATAAGACAGGGACAACTACAGCTACATTGACATGGTCCTTCTCCCACGCACGCATTTTTTGTAATCCAAAGCTCATTACGGACACACACGGCGAGAACAGTGGAAAGAAAGTGGAAATTCCCACTTCACCTCGTAAAAAAAACCAGCCTCCGCTAAGGACCACTAACAAACAGATGGGCGACAACAAAGCAGCACGTCCTGGAAAGCACTGCCCGCCAGACGTGAGCAAGACGCAGATACACACTAGCTTCCCACTCAGGTGCAGAAAGAGCGAGCAGTCACCTGCACACCCAGATGCTGGGACTGGAAGGTGCTGCACCTCTCGGGCTCCTCCAGGGCCCTTCCCGGCACATCCCTCCATCCCTCGGGGAGCCCGCTCACGGCCTCAGGCTGCGGCGCTCGCCTCCCCAGCCAGGAGGAGCGGCCTAACCGTGCCCACAGGCAGCGTTAGTAAACCACGGTTAGTAAACCCGCCCCAGGAGACGAATAGCAGAAACAGCCACGCTCCACAGAAAGCAGGGGAGGGCACCGAGCCCGCCGATGGG